AAATCCGATGGCATGTTGTAGTGAGTGGGAAGGAAAGCAAGGTGTAGTCATAATCTGCAGCTCAGGGAGTAGTGCATGTTGTTGGCATCCCAGTCTCCTAACAGGATGAAGGGATGGGAAGAAATGAAGCTTGTGCTGGGCTCCAGGTTACAGAGCTTCTCTTCAGAGAGCAGAATCAAAAGGAAAAAGAGCAAAGTCTTTCCTTTGCTAAAGTCAGTGACACCTGCTTGCTCCGTGGGAGCTCTGTAGCAGGAGGTGGGATGGAGGAAAGCAGTCATCCATGTCTTCTCTGATGGCCTGTGGGGTCAGTGTGCTGGCTTATGAGTAATCTTCCTGAAGTGTATTAAATCCTGTCTGCTGTCAAGATTCTTCCTGCAAAAGCAATGTGAACCCTCATTTTCAGAGAGTAATGTGAGTTTATTTTGGCCATTACAGGGTAAAACAGCTAGGAAAGGGTTAATGGGAATATGAATCACAGTCGAGCATACGATTTCAGGAAAGGACAGAGGAACAGGGTTTGAGACAAGGAGTTCTTGCAGAAATCCCATGCAAGGTGAAGGCTCAAGCCTGATCTGCACAAAAAAATCACCTTCCATCCTCTGCAAGTTGCTCAGCTCTCAGTGTTTTGGGGCTGGAAGACAGTGGAAGCCAGATTGATACTAACTGTATTGCTTCATCATCACCTGGCATGTCACCTTCAGCATCATGCTGTATTCATTATAATAACCCAAGAAGTATTTCAGCATCTGACAATGTGCAGTGCTGTTTGTACCAGAGGAAAGATCTCTAATCAAAGCCCTTAAATTTAATGAAAACATTGTCAGGTAACCCAAAGTACCTCATCTGTGCTAGCAGCTTGCTCTAAAATGTAGCAAAGGCCAATGTTCTGTGGTGTTCAGCTCTACAGAAGTAGCATTCAATGGTAGAACAAAGCTTTCCTGATGCCTCCATAATATGTCCTGTTCTCAGAGATTTATACCTCAGCTGCTACCTAAAGAGAGATTCCTCATGACCTAAAGCTTGGCAGGCCAGATCGTTCATGCTTCTTGTGTCTTTGCTGCTAAACCTCATGGTTTGGACTGGCTGAGATCTGGAGAGAGCAGAGCTGCAGGTCTGTGGGATGTAGGAGAGCTGGGTTGTCATCCTTCTCCATCCTTGACATAGAGCTGTCACCCCAGGCAGTTTGTCTCCTCTGTGATTATCTCCAGCGTACAGAGCAGGTATGATTTTGCATCTTTGCTTTTGGTAGAGATGTGTGCAATGGTGGGTTTTGTTTTTTTCTTCTGCGATAACTGGTTGCCTTCTGACTTGAGGTAGCAAAAGCTCACCTGCAGCCTGGCCTGGGCATGTGGCAGATTTTTTTGTTTTGTATATTTTTTTATCAACACTTGTTTGAAATCCAGTTCTCACTAAGGCTGTTTTTGAAATTACACTCAACTGGTCAAGGAAGCCGGCCCGTTTTGGCAAATCCCCTTCTTAAATGGCCAAGTACCTTCACTTTTATATGCAGATTTTATGGGGTTTGGGAATCCTTTTATTTTTTTTTCCCTAAGGTGTAATAATTTTGAAAGAACTCGGCATT